TTGTAAAATAAATTCCTTAAATGCTACAAACTTCAAAAGGAATTATGTATTTTATAACTTTTATACGTTTTTTAAAAGTTATAAATGGTTACCAATTTTATTCAAACTCACTTCAAGAAAGCTGAAGTTACTGAAAAATGGAAACCTAAATTAAAAGTGGTAAAACGTGGTGGTAAGTATACTTACCACGGCCTTCAAAAGGGTTAAATTAGTAAACAAAGTTATTTTAGAAAAAGCTAAGCATCTCAAACAAACCTCTTATTTTTTTAAAGTAAATTAATTTTTTTGATATAAAACTATAAATGCAAACTTATAAAAGAAACAATTTTTTTCACTAAAATTACTCGTAAAGGGGCCCCAAATAACGACAAGCCGAGCACCCCTAAAGACACAAAAACGGCTCTGGTTATTTTAGTAAAGAAACAAGGTTTAAACGCAACTAATTTTTCAAAATTGATAGGTACAAATCTTAGCGGGTCCATCAATGGATGCAATGAAAATGACTTTGTTGCTGAAGCTGAACGTTAACAGAAATTACGTACATATTGAAACTAGAAATTACGAAAGATAGATAATTAATCACTTCGGTCACACTTTCACATGGATACTCGTTGATGTTATCTCAAAAGAAGTGAACTACATAACTGCCAAATTTCAATCCTTTCAAGGATGATTTTCCCCAGTGGTAGTTAAATGGAATTTGAATTACAATTTTAAGCAGAAACACGTGCTGTATTTTAACCCGTTTCGTCCCGAATTTATAAATTGAAAGGATACAAAAGGTGGTTTTATGGAGAAAGTGGTATAATATATTATCGAAATTAATTGTTTTTTCTACTGTTAGGGCATTCAAAAAGTCTTTGATAGATTAAAAAGTACTTGCTCCTTATAATTCAAAATCTAATCAGAAATAACTAAATCATTCTGGTATCTGAGAATCTTTTAATTCACCCAGATAAATAAAAATGCTGAAAAAAGTTTCCCACCACAATGCATGTTTTTGAAAAAAGAACGGTCCTAAATATAAGACGCTGGGCGTTAACCGGTTAAGCGAGCCAATGTGGACTACAATATTGACATTGATTGGAGATTTGCTGAAGTACGGCACCTGACTTCTTCATCCGAATTGTGCTAACTGGCAACTGATTCATTCATTTCATTTATTAACAGAAAATTGGGTACCTGGGCCGCGCAGCGGCCCCTATCCCACACATCATGAATTAAAAACATTGTGTGATAACATTTTGATTTTGCAACATAACTGGCAACTGAGGCTTTTAAAAATATGTATACATGTTTAATTTTTTTAAAAATAGTGGTGGATGAAAAAGATTATAAGTTAAGTTTATAAATGTAAGGAATGTATAGAAAGCATAGATTTTACTATCACTTTAAATATAGAAATAAAATTTTGCGGCAAATGCGTAAAAGTTGGCAGGTGTGAGAACGTATTTTCGATGTACCAACTTTTTCAAAGGAAATAAAAGATCATTCAACACTTAACAAAATTACGTGTATTTGATAATTTCGCATTTCTTGAATTCGCTGTCGAAAAGATCATAAAAATTTGAAGGTTAAATTAGCAAATTCGAAAACAAATTTTGTGGAATAACAAACAGGGCCATGTAATTATGAATGAATACTTCTTCATAATTCCCTTGTTTTATTGCAAGCCAATTTTTTTTCTAAACTTCTCTGAATGTAGGTGTTAATTAAGTTCTCCAGCTAAGTTCATCTCCAAAGTTTGCCACTCTCTTGATCGTAGAAGAATTAATGAACAATTACCAGATTTTAGCATTCGCCATAGCTTTAGAGCTAGCAAATGCTGATTGCAAATAGAAATTAAGAATGTTGAGAAATGTCATGATATATATGCTTTATGAAATAATAATATTTATTGCTTTTATTTTGAAGTGGTACATAATAATTATGCAAATTTTTCCCATTTCGTATATTTCCAAAGAACCCAACTTGCACAGTTTTGAAAAAAAATATTTTCTAATGGTCAGGCAATTGAAGTTACTTTTATTTTCATTTAAAGTAATATTTTTTTTACATATCAAAAATATCAAATGAAATGCAACTTTATGGAAGTTATCTCGTGGTGACACTTTTAAAGAATGGTCATAATATATATATCCTTATACAACGAGTTTTACTTTTTACAGATTCCCAAATTCGACTAAGTATTTCAATAAGCGGTAGAGAACAATGAACTAAATTTTGTAGATTTTCGTTTAACTTTGACAATTTTTTAAACTGTTCAAAACGACGTCCTGAAAGTAGGCGTAATTATTCTTATTCTACAAGTTTTACAATTTATTTCTCTACCAATTTTTTAAAACTCTTGCAGAAAGAAAGAGAAAGAAATACTGCTTACAAAGTGTTATATCGTATCATTTTGCCACCTACCTATATTTTCTGCCGTTGGCTTCTACAAAAATAGCAAAATTTTGGACCAAAATATACTATAATATAACAATTATGAATAATATATATAAGTAATATTATTTATATTTATTAAATAATATACAAATATATAATATATATAAAATATAAATAATATATATAAATAATAAATATTTTTAAACTATATATACAAAAAGGTATGCACGATTGGCTTCTTTCCCCAAAGTAAATTTGAAGAGAGAAATAAATGAAAAACCAGCCTTTAATTTCTTAAAAAACTGTACGTTGAAATGATTCTAAATTAAATCAGTATCTTTCAACCTAAAGATGGAGAAAATGATGCCTTTTTTATTGAAAAATCCTATTTTATTTTGATACAAAATAGGTTATTTTTTTCTGTAAATGCAATAGTTAGGTATAGATTTTTTAAAAATAATCAAAACTCATCGATTATAAAATCTAGCACATAATTTATAACGATTAATCGATGCTTATTAATCCAATCATTTAGTCAATCATTCATCCATAGTGNTAACAAAATAGCAAAATCCTTTACCAAAATATACTACAAATAATAAATATAAATAACAAATATAAATAATAAATATAAGTAATATTATTTATATTTATTAAATAATATATATAAATATATGCAAATATATAATATATTTAATAATACATATTTTTAAACAATATATAAAATGGTATGGACGAATGGCTTCTTTCCACAAAGTAAATTTGAAGAGAGAAATAAATGAATAACCAGCCTTTAATTTCTTAAAAAACTGTTCCTTGAAATGTTGATCCTAAATTAAATATGTATCGTTCAACCTAAAAAAGGAGAAAATGATGCATTTGTTATAGTAATATCCTATTTTATTTTGATACAAAATAAGTTATTTTCTACTGTAAATGCAATAGTTAGGTATAGATTTTCTAAAAATACTCTGAACTCATCTATTATAAAATCTAGCACATAATTTATAACGATTAATCGATGATTATTAATCCAATCATTTAGTCAATCATTCATCCATAGTGAAAGAGAAGTAATTAAAGCTTGACTTACGTCTCTTAGAGAATTATATTTTTATAATTTAAGTTTTGAATTATTTACTGTCGTAAGGATCATCTTCATTGGACCAATAGTTCCAGTGTTCTGTCAAAATATTATGGTGTACAAAATATCTTATTGTCATAAGGATCATCATCATTTTAACGAGGGTTCCATTGCTCCTTTGAAATACTTTAGTGGTACCAAAATTATTACTGTCGTAAAGATCATCATCATTTTAACAAGAGTCCCAGTCGTCCGTTGAAATATTTAAGAAGTACCAAATTTATTATTGTCGTAAAAATCATTATAATACCCAGTGGTCTGTCGAAAAATTTTAAGAGGTACCAAATTTAATGCAAAATTTGTTTCAGGTTTTAATACATGTATCATTAAAAATTATAATTTTTCCATTCATTCCTCTAATACATATCTTTAGAAATTCTGCCACATAAAGGAGAAACATATTTAAAATTGAGCATTTACTAAATTAGAGAAATGTACAATAAATTTGATATCTAGTTTACTAACCATTGACCACTGAGTACTTAAGCACGCAACCAGCGGCATGCCAAAATAATTTGAATAAATTAAATTAACAAACAACCTTTTAATTCTTGAATTTAGAAATGTAATTTGCTATTGATTTAATCACAACTGTAAATAAATAAATCAAATATACAAAAGCGAGACACAATGATTCGAAATCTCCCAGCTTGTCTGGGAACTTAAGGCGATCTGTGTACTATGCTGACCACATTGCCACAGCAATATCATAAAATTATAAGGCCTTAACCTGCATTACCCCAAGCTCCACAAATCGACAAACCAATTTATACCCGACCACAGCAGAGATGCCAACTTGCTCCGAGCAAATATATATTTTAAAGTGGCAGCTTATCAATTGTGATTCGTGGTTTAATAAATTCAATTTAGCACATTTTTAAGCACCACTATTTCTAAATAATTTGTAGATTTATATAATTCACCACTTTACAAAAATTTGCATTCCGGCCAACTATTAATCCTTTCAAGGATAATTTTCCCCAGTGGTAGTAAAAAAAAATTTTTAATTACAACTTTAGGCAGAAACATTCGCTGTAATTTGGTTAAGCTTATGCGAAATTTCACAACAGCAGAGATTTCTAGTGGTAGTTAAATTTAAATTACCTATAGTTTAGTATTTTTCATTTTAAGAGTTTTTCTTCACTAAATATCAAAAATTATAAGTATCATATAAAACGCCACGTTAAATCAACAATCTACTGGTGACTCTACTTTAAAGTAGGCGTAACTATCTTTCTTTACCGAATTCTTTCTTTACCACATTATTTAAACTATTCCAGAAAGTGGAGCAGTTAGCATCCCAGCAACGCTGGAAATGGTATTAACCTCGGCCTTTGGCGCGAAGCGCCACTTACCGATTCATCGAATCTGTTTAGTCGTAATGTGGGATGACGAAAAAAGTTCAAAGTTGTAGTATGTTTAGAGAGTCAAGTCCTTATAGAAGTGGGTTTTGGTTGGAAATTCAGGAACATCACTGAGAAGGGGAAATCCCCTTTAGTAGAGTTTGTAGTAGGCTAAGCACCTCTTGGTCTTTCATGAGCTCTTGTAATTCTTTCATGAGTGAAACAAGGCGGTGTGCTGATGCTGCATGAGTGTGAGCTTTGGTGTGGGTTTTCTTTCTACTGGGGCGGGCCTCGCACCCAGAGAAGTTTGATGTGTGATCCTTTCGGCAATTGCAGCAAGTAGGTGGTGTGTCTCTGCTTTTTGTATACTGATACGAAAAATGCCCTTCAGCACATTTCATACATCGTGGTTTTTCTGTGCACATACGCTGAGAGTGACCGAATCCTTGGCATCGGAAGCACTGTTGCGGCCGCCGGCCGCCGTGGAAAAGCTCTACGCTAACCGGGAACTGCTTGATTTTCTCCGTGTAGTAAACCTTTTCGTGGTTGGCTAGCTTAGGTAGGATAACTAGAAATAGTGGGAGGGGCCTATAGGCCCCGCCCACCATCTTCTGGAACTGTACTATCTTGTAAATTTCCAAGTTCAATTTTCCTAATTCTAGGGAAATTTCTGCTGGGTTAAAGTCCTTTGGAAGGCCACGTATGAGAACTTTGAGACACTTGGATTGTTCTTTCACATCAGTATTAGTGGGCTCCATCTCTTTAGTGGGGTTCTCCTCCGTAGCATCCATGGGGGTTGAGGTGGGGGTATCCGGCTGATGAAGAGATTCAGAAGTAGAAGGGCAGCTAGCAGTCTTTTCTTTATTCTCATCATTCACTTGTTTCTTCTTCTTTTTTCTCTTCTTAGCAGGTGGTTCGTTGGTGCTTTGAATCTGAGGCTCTGTATCAGAGGCCGAGGCCTCCTTACAAAGTTCTGAGTTCGGGTCTGGTTCTGTGACTGTGGTTGTTTCCAGTACATCTGTAGTTTGAGTTGAGGGTTCGGGAGTGGGAGCCGTGGCTTCACTTTTCTTTAGTTCCTCCTCCTTCTGTTTCTTTCTGCGTAGATTAAACATGAAGTTGTGGGCAATTTCAGATCTTGAAACGAAATATCTCCAGTAGGGCCCAGTGTAATCCAGTCTTTTGAGGAAAGGAATTTAATAATCATCCACTTTATACAGATCTTCCAAAGAAAACTGTGAGTAGAAAGTCTACGATTTCAGGCTTGGTAGCGTCTTTAGGTGGCAAATAATGCGGGGGAATCCCGCAGTTCGATAGTAGGTCCTCTAGGGAAGATTCATCTACGTAAGTCGAATTTTGTGAGCGGCCGGAAGGGAACACCTTTCCGCCGCGAGCTGTTCTGTGATACGGCATTAGTCGCTTAGAAAGAAACACGTCCTCACTCGTCAAAGACTTGAGTCGGAATCCGCATCACAGCAACAGTATTACATACTAATATATATGCTTAATTTTTTTAAAAATAGTGGTGGATCAAAAAGATTATAAATTAAGTTTATAAATTCAAGGAATATATAGAAAACATAAATTTTACTACCACTTTAAATATAGAAATAAAATTTTACACCAAATGCGTAAAAGTTGGTAGGTATGTTTTCTATCTCTAAATAATTCGTAAGCTTGAAAAATTCATCACTTTATAGTAATTATGTCAAGCTATATCTCTTAAAAAGCAAGCAAGTAGTCAAATATTTGCAAAATTTTTTTTATTTATTTTAGCTTGTTCAAAGTTTAGTCAGCAAAAGTTGTAATAAATTGGTGGCGAATTAAATCGCAAAGTTATAGAATATGGATAATTACGCCCACTCTTTACAAGTGTTACTGCAATATAACTGCAATAATGTTGCTTTTCGTATGATACTTTGAATGTACGATAAGAGGAAGCGGAAATATTACTTGAAAAGAAAAATACTACAAAAAAAATTACTCAAAATTCGTTATCGCAAAAAAATATTTTTCAACAAAGTCGAGCAAATTGGCATCTCTGCAACCACACAATAATTATACATGAGCAAATTTATATAAAAATAATAGAAATCAAGGCTTAACCCCGTCCCGGCCCCGTCAGGGGCATCCGGAGAATTCTGTAGGCTCTTAGTGCACGTACGTGACCTCTCAGCAAAAGAAAAAGAGGATTCAAAAAGGTTGGCTTGGTGGCGATCCATGGCAACACCAGAAGGCCTTAAAGAATTTAGTGAAATCTTAAAATTAACAATAGCAGTTTCTCAGAAAATAGAATTTAGGAGTGTTCAAACATAATAGGCAAGGCATCAATTAAAAAATAATAATAATAAATAAATTAAAAAAATAATAGTAGGAGTTATTGGTAAAAGTTTATGATAGTTGGATATCTTCCATTTATCCAGCACTTTTACTTTAAAAATACATCGTATCTTGTATTCGTTTTTTATACTTGGAACCAATTATAAACATATATATATATATATATATATATATATATAAAAT